GCATTTTATTTGGGATTTTACAGCAGACCCTCCAGTATGTATATTATTGTGAGAAATATCACCAAATAGGTGTTTGCAGCATATTTCTCCTCACCCATGAGGATGGAACAAAATAATCCTGGAAGAAAACCTCAGAGATGCTACAATGAAAATTCAAGGTATCCCTCCATTAAAATGGCCCAGTCCAAATCCATTCTGAATACAAATCAAAAATCTGATAAAACATAAATTCATTTCAGCAATTTATCTGAACTTTCAACAGACTCCTGTGATTACAGCCACCCGAAGTATTGGCAAAGTTAAAAAACAAATCCACAGCACAAATAAATGCACATTGTGTTTAAAAAGAAGTTGCCAAGCATTCTGTTGGTCCCTCATATCAAACTAATAAAATGTTTGTTTAGGCCTGAAATGCAGAGGTGTCAAAATATGTTTTTTAATGGCTTTTTGTCCTCTATCTGGAGTACTTTTACTACATTTAAACTTATAGTTGTACTTTCTATTCTATTATGACATGACGTAGAAAACAAAACAGCTAAATCAAGAGAAAATCGAAAGTTAAGAGGCAGTTCAAAAATTTTCCCGATTGCATAATATGATCCTGAGATGTAAGACATTCCTCATCCAATTCCCCTGTAAATATAGGCTTTAAACTTCAATGTTGTTTGAAATTTCATTATTTGCAACTGTAATATTTAACTGCATATTTCAGTTCAGTTCAATCTGTATCATCCTGTTTAAAATTTATATTTAGAACCGATCTAGACCAAGGCAGAGGCTTGCACAAATTCTCTTCACTAAAAAACAAGCTTAAACTGGAGGCAACTCAACTTTCACCTAGGTTTTCTGAAAATATTTTCACACCTATAACAGAGTCTTTGTCGGTTCAGTAGAATAGATAAATCTGTGGTTGGAGCGTTGATGTTTTTTATGCACCTGGATGCCCATCCTCCCAAGTACATTACAAGTCTGATCCAAATAATGTACCAATGGGAGTTGAGAGCTGCTTTGTATGGGTCTTGTGTTTGGCCCTTTGAATCATGACCAGTGTATTTGTGTGGCCTCTTTGGAATAAGTACCACGACCTGGTTGTAAATGCTTTGAGGCTGGTTTGGTCCAAAGAGACATGATCTAAATGGCCAAACACAAAACAAGACTCCAAAAACCAAGGAGAACGCAGGTGGGTCTTTGATTTATACTGTGCTTAGAACTTAACTCCAACTAAATAAAACTTTAACTCCATGTCTCTCTAGTGGGGGCTGAAAGAATTGACAAGGGATTCTGGAGTTTGCCTCTGATTTGAGACAGTTTTATACAGGTCCTTCTCAAAATATTAGCATATTGTTATAAAGTTCATTATTTTCCACAATGCAATGATAAAACTTTAACATTCATGTATTTAAGATTCATTGCACACTAACTGAAATATTTCAGGTCTTTATTGTCTTAATGCGGATGATTCTCACATAATTAGCATATCATGAAAAAGGTCTCTAAACGAGCTATGCACCTAATCATCTGAATCAACAAATTAACTCTAAACACCTGCAAAGGATTCCTGAGGCCTTTAAAACTCCCGGCCTGGTTCATCACTTAAAACCCCAATCATGGGTAAGACTGCCAACCTGACGGCTGCCCAGAAGGCCATCATTGACACCCTCAGGCAAGACGGTATGACAAAGAAAGATATTTCTGAAGGAATAGGCTGTTCCCAGAGTGCTGTATCAAGGCACCTCAGTGTCTGTGGGAAGGAAAGTGGCAGAAAACGCTGCACAACGAGAAGAGGTGACCGGACCCTGAGGAAGATTGTGGAAAAGGGCCGATTCCAGACCAGGCAACAGGTGCTGCATTCCCCAGGTCAAGCCACTTTGAACCAGAAATGGCGACAGAGGCACCGGTCCTGGGCTACAGAGAAGCACCACTGCACTGTTGCTCAGTTTTGCATGTCATTTGGAAATCAAGGTGCCAGAGTCTGGAGGAAGACTGGGGAGAAGGAAATGCCAGAAGTCCAGTGTCAAGTATCCACTGTGTTTTATCAAGGGCAGGGTCAATGCAGCTAGCTATCAGGAGATTTTGGAGCATTGGCTGAAAAGCTTTATGGAGATTAAGATTTCATTTTTCAGCATGAAATGGCACCTGCTCAGGGTGCCAAAACCACTGGTAAATGGTTTACTGACCACGGTGTCACTGTGCTCAATTGGCCTGCCAACTCTCCTGACCTGAAAAGTTAAGAGACGCAAGACCCAACACTGTGGGTGAGCTAAAGGCCGCTATTGAAGCATCCTGGGCCTCCATAACACCTCAGCAGTGTCACAGGCTGATTGCCTCCATGCCACGCCGTATTGAAGCAGTCATTTCTGATAAAGGATTCCCAACCAAATATTGAGTGCATAACTGTTCATAATTATTTGAAGGTTGACTTTTTTGTATAAGGAACACTTTTCTTTTATTGGTCGGATGAAATACGCTAATTTTGTGAGATAGGAATTTGGGGTTTTCATGAACTGTATGCCGAAAATCATCCCTATTAAGACAATAAAAGACCTTAAATATTTCAGTTAGTGGGCAGTGAATCTAAAATATATGAAGGTTCAAGTTTTATCATTACATTATGGAAAATAATAAACTTTATCACAGTATGCTAATATTTTGAGAAGGACCTCTAGACAAAGTTGGTATATGTTTTATCTACTGACACCATGTGCAAAATGGGGAAACAACCCATTCTCTATGCATATAGCATTTTTGTTTTAAAAATTTAGTTTTTAAAAGTTATTTACTCTTATTTCAGGCAAAAACATTAATTTTACTTTTGTCCTCCAAGTTGTACAACTTAGAACCAACTTGGAAAGAGTTAGGTTAGTACTTTTTTTTAAATCAGAGAACAGGTCTCTTTACTTTTATTGAAATTATTTTGACATCTCTGCTTAAATGTGAAAAATGTTTGATCCAGTAAAACCTTTACATCACTACAGGTAATGTCATCACCAGCAGATGTCGTTATGTTTCACCAGTGAAGCTGTGGTGAACTTTAAACAGGTGGGAGCCGGTTTTACTACAGAAATTGTGTTCCCGGCTTGTTCAAGCAGGACTTTGACGTCAGACGCTTTTTCTGTCATTCAAGCTTTGACTCAACTGTCCAGAAGCACAAATAAGGAGAAACCCTATAGTTACAGACATATCAGAAGTTAATTGACCAAAAAAAAATATATCAGAAATAGATTGTAAAGATTTCAAAGAATAAATGATTTTTTGTTATTGAAAATATTTTACAAACACAATTATACAGAAGAACATTAGACAGGTGCTCTAAGATAAAATTACACAATTAAAAGAGGTGTGAATACATTATTCTTTGAAAAATTTCTTTAAAAATATTTTTATTTTTTTATACGTTTTTTCTGTGTCAAATCAATTAATCTAAGGGTCCCTTTGAATTTGTGTAAGAAACATCTAAAGTTGAGGAACTTTTTGGCATATTTACATTCATATATATGAAATTTTCCATACTAAATCAGTAGGTTTGTAATAAAAGTAACTGTCTCCATGGGAAAAATACAGTATTACACTCTTACAGTCAATTACAATGTATGTTTTGATTTTAAACATTATATAATGTTGAAGAATATTCCAAAAATGGATAGAGGGGGAAGAGTGGTAGAATAAATTACATGTTACTAGTTCCATATTACTGCATTTATCTTAGAAAATTATTTAAATATGTAGATAAATGTGAATGAATCTATTTTATCGAAGAATAAAAAATTAATAATGAGAATTGAGAAAATGAGACGTCACACACAAATGTTTCATTTAACCAATCACACACTCGCTTGTTCGGTGGTGGGCGTGGCCTATTTACAACAACATGATCCTGCTTCTCCAAACCGGTGCCAGCTGGTTTTGGTCAGGAAGCAGTTTGATGCAGTCAGAGGATTTAGAGGTGATTGAAGGAACATTTTCTAAAGACTACAACTTCCTCAACAATTTATATGACTTTGCTTCGCTGTGATTTACAGGTGTCGTTTTTATTTTATTTTTTTTATCGCACAATAAAGACAACAAACAATTTGAAAATTAGGTTTTCAGCTAATATCAATTTCCAGATATTTTCAACCAAAAAAGTAGGTTGAAATATTGGTGTGAAAAGTTTTTTACTAGTACTTTAGTACTAGGCCTACTTCTGTTAAATGTAAGCTTTCATTACCTGAAACAATGTCAAATATGATTATGCTTACCATGTGAATTAATTTCAATTAGAAAAGCTTTAGTAATTCAATTTTATACTTTCCATTAGCTCAGGTAAATAATAAATACTGAGACCTATATAAATTTAGACATGTATAAATGTGTATTAATTTGGATTTTTTAATGATTTTTTTGTGTATTTATTTCATTATTGAAGCATTTACCTAAATATTTAGACTTTTTATCCATTTTATTTTCATTTAAAGCTGTACGAATATAATTATTTTATCAATGTTTGTAATATTACAGTCTCCAAAGTAGTGCTTATGGTGAAGTGTTGCACTTTAAGTGGCCTGTAAGTCACTAAAAATGGTTTTCACCACATTCTAGGCTCCTATTGGATGCAAACTTTTATATTTTATAAAAGAAAATAAGAAATAGGGATTCATTGTTGTTAACATGTTTCGAACATAACATTTTGTCCTTATGCACTGCAAAAACAATCTAGAAATAAGTAAAAATGTCTTTAATTAAGTGTATTTACCCTTAATTTGAGTGGATAAATAAGACGATAAGTTAAATCGATAATATGAACTTGAAATAAGACAATGCAATTTTTTTTTTCTTATTTTAAATTTAAATTGTCTTCTTCCATTGGCAAAGTGTCTCACTTACCTCCTCAATTCAAGAACAAATGCACTTAGTTTAAGAATAATGGACTTATCTAGATTGGGAATTTTTTTCCAGTGTGTGCAGTCCTGTTCATTAAAGTTATTTCTCATACATAGCAACTAATGGGAGATATTGTTTATTAGTTGAACTGTAGCATGACAGACACCCTGCAGCTGTGACTTAGATTTGCACTAATGACTATCATGATGATCCGTTAGTGGGTTAATAAATAGCAGTGTGTTGGGGTGGTCACAAATGGGAAACGCCGTGTTGGTCAGATGACTGTCATGTACATAAAGGGCTACGCGTGCTATTCTGGGTCAGACTTCAGCCTCCGTTCATCACAGCGACAGGCTCTCAGTTGCAACCTCTGCTCCTCCGTTCAGGTTCCCTGCAAACCCAGCCAACAGCGGAGGACCTTATCATTTTCAAGCGCTATGGAACTGTCACTGGTGAGTTTTGCGGCTGTCAAGAGGTTTCTTGTTTGTTTCTTCTAATAAAACGACCCTTGATCGTTTCTAAGTTACTCAGAATACCCATGAAGTGTTAAAACTGTGGATTTTAAATATGTTTTAATCTCCCTTCATGCTCCTCATCAGGCTCACCCGGCTGTTAAAGCCTTTGTGTGTGGCTCCTTCAGTGGGACCTGCTCCACCCTGCTCTTCCAGCCTCTGGACCTGGTCAAGACCCGTCTGCAGACCTTGCAGAGTGGCATGCAAGCAGGGTGAGTTTATAGATTTATTGATTCCCAATAGTTTTACCTCGCTTAATCACAAATAAAAGCATTGCTCAGCGTTTCCCTCTTATCTCAGTTATCTGATTATTCCCTTTTCAGGTCAACCCGGGTCGGGATGATGTCGGTGCTGCTCGGCGTGGTGAGGAAAGAGCGACTGCTGGGACTCTGGAAAGGTGTTTCACCGGTATGCACTTTTCTGTTTAACAGAAACCAAAAGATGTGTCCATGTTGACATGGGGGCAACATGAAGAGGAGATGATATCTAAAAAGAACTCCTCTCCTTTTACTTTTCTAGTCTTGCATCCGTACCATCCCAGGAGTGGGAATCTACTTCAGCTCCTATCACTCCCTAAAGCAGCACTTCTTCCAGGACAACAGGCCAGGAGCTGCACAGGCTGTGATGCTGGGTGGGGGGGCTCGGACCATAGCAGGGGTCGTCATGCTGCCCATTACCGTCATAAAGACACGTTTTGAGGTGAGCAGGGCTGCAGCTGATCAGATTAATATCACTACATTTACACCGGGAGCAGATTTCCTACGCTTAAACGTGTGACGTCTACATTGTCCTTTTGCACATGCGAGTCGCATCGGGGCTGATAAAGTTCTAACTGGAGCCTAAAGGTGGCTGTATTTTATGAATAGTCTGAAACAAAATGGAATATAGCAAGACCTGCAGTGTGACCTTAGTTTAAGAAAAGTGAGGAACAGAAACAGCTCTTACTGTTGCATAAAACTTTTTTTTTAATCAGATCCACCCCTAATTAAAAAGTGGAAGGAAAAGGAATGAGGGTGTTGCAATGTATTTTACTTATACAATCCTTCTGAGTTTGATTTTAATTCATGTTTAATAATTTTAACTGGAGAAAAAAATCAAATGAAGCTCATTCGGACCCGTTATCAGACGGCAGATCTGGAATGACCTCTGAGGTCAAAGCAGGTGTAGAAATCAATCAGTCAAACGTAGAAACTTTGGTCTAACGCCGTTTGGGAAACAGTGACGTCCGATGCAGGAGTTTGTCATGCAGCTGGAGGGTTGGCGGTTCAGTGTCGTTGTGTCCTTGGGCACAGAAGATTTATGCGGCACAGAAGAGCGCCACCAGGCGCTCTTCTGTGCCGCATAAATAAAGGCCATTTAAGCAACCTAATTCTGCAGAAGCCTGTTATAAAAGTCTTATATTTTGAAAGCTTTATATCATTCATTCTCTATGTGTGTCAGTCTGACGTAAGATTTCATTGAATGCGTCAGAGTCTGTGGATGAAGGGTGACTGAGGGGGAAATAGGTGCTGTGTTTTAGTGACCTAAATACCCTACTTTGTTGGATTTTTTGTTCTATGTTTTAAGCTAACCTTTGAGTGTTTGTGTTTGCAGTGTGGCAGGTACAGCTACGTGAGCGTGAGCGGAGCCCTGCGCAGCGTGTGTCAGAGTGAAGGTCCTGCAGCTCTGTTCTCCGGCCTGGTGGCCACTCTGCTCAGAGACGTTCCTTTCTCTGGGATTTACGTCATGTTTTACAGCCAGACCAAGGCCTCGCTGCCTGAAGGTGAGCCCACACTGTGGCTAATTTTAAACATAACAGACCCTTGACCTCCATTCTGATTTATTGAATGGATTTTGTTTCCTCTTGCAGAGATCAGATCATCTCCTTCAGCTCCTCTTGCTAACTTCGGCTGCGGCGTTCTGGCTGGTGTTCTGGCCTCTCTGATCACGCAGCCTGCTGATGTGGTTAAAACACACGTCCAAGTGAATCCCCAGCTGAGGACGGCAGAGGCCATCAAGTATATCTGCAAGGTGGCTAACCCCTCCCCCGCTTTACTACCACATTACAATCAATCTGTTTCACTTGGAATTAACATGATGTCTCTTTTTCTCCAACAAGGAGCACGGGCTGCAGGGCTTCTTCAGGGGAGCAGTTCCTCGGTGTCTGAGGAGGACGATGATGGCCGCCATGGCCTGGACCGTGTACGAGCAGATGATGGCACACATTGGACTCAAGTCCTGAGGGAAAAAGGCCGATTAAAAGCTCTAAAGGGAAGATAAACAGCAAGTCGGAGTGACGAGTTGGAAGAGAGCAGAGAAAAGAGCCGCTTCAGAGGGAGTCGTCAGGAAAGCGTTTCTCTGTCAGTCAGGAAACAGGCTGGTGAGCAGAGAGCAACGTTTCCATGAGCTAAAGATGAGGAATGGTACATTTGCCTGCAGATGGTAGAAAAGGAAGTGGATCTGTGATGGGCCGAGCTGAAAAGCAGGAATTGATTTAGTAATAAAAAGGACAAACAGGGACAAGCTGTGGTGACTCGATGCAAGCAGCTCCTGGGTTCTAGCTCCAGATCCACACTCTGGATACTCCAGCCTCATCCCACCTGAGGTGGCGAAGAACCATGAACACAAACGTTCATGGTTCTTCGTCTTTTGTGTCCTCCCTAAAAGTTACCACTGTAGACAAAAGAAAACCACATCCTCCTCTCTACCAGGAGCTGGTGATACCGTCGAGTTCATGATTTTAACCAGCTGGTAAAGCAAATGAGGACTAGTCATGGAATCATAAATGAGTTGTTATACAGAAGGGAACTAAAGTGGAACCAATGCATTAAAACCTCTCAATAAACATTATATCAAATCAAAATGTGTTGTTATTGTGTTAATAGGAGTAAAAAATCAGCAAAAAGGTTTCCCCTTTCAGGCTTTTATAAATTAGCTGAGATAAATCAGGGGAAGTGAATTATACCAACATATGGTTTAATCCCAAACCGCTCCCTAACCACTAACCCTTAAATATCAGTCTCACTCCCAATGAAGTTTAAGCTGTGGAAGGCACCTTGATTGAAGGTGTGAGGGGGTATAAATGGAAATGGGATGGCATCTTCCCTCCAACGGATAAGAAAAGAAGTTGTTGCTATGGCAACACAGTGACGCCCCGGCTGTAGCTCTGTGGTGCAGGGTGACATAAAATTATAACATTTGCCCCTTTCTTAAAAGAATATATACGGTCAGATGAACTTATTTCAAAGAGGACCTTCCACTTTGGAATGAATTACATTTTTTTCATGTAACTAACTTGATTTTTTTGTCAGTGTGACGAAGATGCGGCAAAGCAGCTGAACTTACCAGTACTGCCAAATTTCAGTGAGCCTGTTCTGATGTAGACTCGCAATTTAAGCCCTACCCACTACGTTTGGAGTGGCCCTAATGAGGCGGGAACGCGCAAACAGAGGGTTAGTGTTTAGGATTAGTGTTTAACGGCCGGTTCGGGATTAGGACAAACTGTTGGATTAATGACTGAGTCCAATGTTATGGTTTAACAATGGAGTCTGAGCTGCAAACGTGATTTAAGAATATCCATGGACAGACTTTTAGTCCAGGACTTCTCACCAAAAAAGTCCAGATCTCCTTTCTTACTCTGGATCTGACAGTTGACCCCTGAAAGGTGAAGGGATAGGAGCTAGAAACCAGAGAAAGGGATTAAAATCTAAGCTTAAAGATACACCGATCCAGTTTTTATCCCAATCCAACTGGATACTGATACTGCTGTTCAAAGAATAAACCTATCTGCGAGAGTTAAGCCATTAGGCCTGACATAAACATTGTTTAAAGATAAGGGTAGCAAATTAACATGGATGTAAATCATCACTAGCTGCTGTGCCTGATGAGATAACATTTCAAGCATAGAGCTAAAATGACTAGATTCCTCTCGTTGTAATGCTGTGTATTTTAATAGAATAAATGACTGGATCAGCTTTCTCCACCCGATATCTGATCCAGCTAATTGGTCAATAAAAGAACCGATATCCGAACTGGATCGATTTCTATTTCAGCCTGAACTCTGGATAACTTTGTTCAAGTAGCTTTTATTAATGAATTTAATTTAGCAGCAAGTGTTATGGTGGTATGTTGGCATCATCATTGAACATCTAGAGAACAACAAATCTGGTTTGTCCTTCTTAATTATCCTGCTCAGTCAAGAAAGATTAATCTTCAACATCTGCCAGATTATAAATCAGATTGAACTTGCTATCGTACTAATGGAAGCCAGCCTCTCTGCACCAGTTGAAGAAAATACACCCCTCGGCATAATGCTGCCACTATCGTGGATTAAAAGGATCTCCCCATCTCAACCCTTTGGGGAAATTCTTTCATAATCTAACCCTACTTAAAACAACTTTTCAACTTTCTCCCACCTACACGTGGCAGCAAGATTTATGCAGAGGTTAAATCCGAAGCAAAAGGTCTCCAGTTAACAGTTGCATGACTTCTGAAGTCAATTAAATCCCCTGGATTTGATTTAGGAGAAGCAGAGCATATAAAGCCGCACTTTTCAGATTTCTTTTCGCTTTGAAATCCATCCAGCAATTTCCTCCCCCTTTGCAAATTACAAATATCATATGCATGGCAGATTTAGGTTTAAAGGAATCTTTAATTGTGTCCTCTGAGACATCAGACTTCAATCTGATAGATAATCTAAAGGGAGCTAAAGATTGGGATTAGAGCACAGGGGCCCTCCAACCTCTCTAAGCAGTCATAAGCAAATATTCATCATGGAAAATACAAAAGAGAGGTGTTTTTTAATCGTGAGCATTTTTAAATAAATTTAAATACAAATTACATGGATTACTCATAATGTTGCATGTACATGTGTCAGAGGTACGAACGATGCTCCGATAAAAACCCAATGAGGGGCAATTTATTTCATGCAATATGAAAAAGGTTGTCAAAATACTGTTACAAGCTTTGTGTTAATCATCAGAGCCTGTGTTCAGACACCAATTAATTTATAGCCTCCAGTTTTATTTTTTTTTTTTACAGAGCACATAAAACCATAAAGTTCTGTGAAAGTCACGTTTCCCAGCCTAGCTATGATTTCCAACCAGCGGACAGCACATTTCAGAGGACTGCCAGAACATGAGGGCCAAGGACTTATCACAACACTGATACAGATAAGCCAAACAAAGGGGTGTGGTGACATGTCATCAAATAGTAAAGAACATGGACCTGTGCAGGAACTGCAACTAATTAGGAGGACATGTGAAGAAACATGTTTATGGATGTTATTTATTTTCTTTCTGATAAAGATCAAATCTAGATATTTGGTTTTCTGAGAGTGACAGATCCATTAGGAAGTTTTGGATTAATAAAAATCTCTTCTTCAGATCTCTGTGGTAAATATGGGAAGTGAAAACATCTTTTTGATAATTTAACTGAAGAGTTATTCAGTGGGTTATTTTTTCCCCCCATTGTAGAAGAAAGTCCCTTTACCTCTTGTGTTCTACCTGCCACCTAACTTTATCATTTGGGAATATCTCAGGTTAACATAGTTCTTTTTGCTGCTGTGTCTCTACAAAATTACAATATTCTGGTTAACTTTCTCCTCACATGACATGCTCCAATAAATAATTTCTCAACACTCTGTGCCCTTGTGTACATGTTATGATCCCTGCTCCTGGAACATTTTATCTCTGGCAAATATAGTTACAACACAGGTCAGTCTTTCACCGAGAAGTCAGCGTCTCAGCATTGTCTTAATATGGTCTTTCCATCTCCATTGTCTTAATATGGGATATTCATCCGACCCACGGGCCGACCTTTGCTTTCCACTGCCGCTGGCTGCAGCAAAAGGCACGAACCCCACCTAGTGGACAAATGGTAGAACTACACTCTGCTACGACGTCGGACGGAAGTCCGGAGCGTTGCGTGAACAGCACCGCCATATTGTGAGTGGATTTTTTTTCATTCGGTCAAGAAACCAATAAATAGACGCTGTCAAACACCATAAATTCGACAAAAAAATCTTGAAAAGTATGACACTACAATTTAAAATTTATTCCAATATTATCGGATTATAAGAAGCGTGTCTTTGCTCATTTTATGAAACCACGCTCATAAGCATATTTTTCTCAAACAAACTTGCTATTTACAACTCAGTATATAGTAGAAAACGGACCAATCAGGTCTTTAGGAAATGAGTATAAAAACAACGTCATTTCCTCCTTACGCCCTCTTTTTCACCGTATGCGCAGACTTCCATACGGCGTTGTTTCGTGGTGAGTTTTAACCGACTCTGTTTAGTCTTAAAATATATAAAATAAGCCCACCTACGGGAACGAACGGTGGTCTTTATTATTATGAACCAACTCAACCACCGCATCAGCACGTATCTGGGATGTAAACCGTTTATTTCCATCCTAACAGTGAAGCTAACGTCCAAAGCTAACGCGCTAGCCCCGAGCACGCGCTCATGTCTTAGCTTTCCGCTCTATATTCTGGAAGATATTTTTGTTTTAGATCCAAATCCCCCACAGACTAGTAACGATATGCAAAATTAACTGTATTGCAGTTATGAAAATTCACCCTGTGCTTTATCCGGCCTTTTTAGTTTACTAGTCTGAAACTGTGGTATTTTAGCTAAAACTTTACTCTGTAAGCCAAACTAATAGTTGGCTAGTTTTTTTTAAACTTGTATTCTAATCATATGTATGTATTCGCATGTACTCAAGCTGTTGTGTTCCAATAATTTTTTTAAACTGCAGTTAGTCATTTTTGATCAATATAAATGTTGTTTAAGGCGATAATACACTGAACTGGTCCCATTTTGAGCCGGTTGATCCTCATTAAAAGTTTCATGTAGTGTTTTATCACCTGGATCGTAGCTCGAGAGGGAATGTTTTTCAGTGTACGAAGAGAACATTAAGTATTAAAGTAATTCCAGTCATGTTAAACCAAATCATTGTTTTAAACATAAGTTAAGCTGGTGAAAGTTCTCAGTCATCCAGGTCATAGTTATTCCAAAAACAAAATTTAAAAACAATCCCCTGAAACTTGGAAACAAAGTCCAATGGATTTTTAATGTTCGTTTTTTTTCCGGAAAGCATAAGTTAATTAATAAAATGAACGAAGCAGCATCATTTCCTACATCCAAAAATAGTTACATACCACTGAAGGTTCTGTCATACAATTAATTTAACAATACTGAGTAGAATATGGATTGTTTTTCATTTACAGTGAGGCTGAAAGAGGCTAATTGGGTCTAAAGTTAATAGTGAAAATCTGGCATAATGGCAGATGGCCTTTATCTATAGCTCAACATGAGTTTGAAATGATAAATATTAAATACACAGAAGTTGAGTAAGACCTCTTTTATCGGGATCTTGACGGCAGAAAAAAATATTAGCAATAAACCTGTGGTTTGTAATACAAAAAAATCTATGAAACTAAGAGTTGAGCTAATCATATATTTGATGTAGAAACCTGTCAATGCGATTATTGCTTTGCAATTTAA